GAGTTCCTAAGGGGAAATACAGACGTGTTCGCGTGGAACGAAATGGAAATGACGGGGGTAGACCCCGAGATAATCACACACAGGCTGCATGTTGACCCGTCGCACAAGCCAGTCAAACAGAGGCCACGACGCATGGCCCCGCATCACACCAGCGCAGTAAACGAGGAAATCGACAAACTCCTGAAGGCCGACGCCATTCGAGAGATACAGTTCCCAGAATGGCTGTCTAATACGGTATGCGCAAAGAAGAAAGGGGGAAAATGGCGTGTCTGCGTAGACTTTACAGATCTAAACAAGGCATGTCCCAAGGACGACTACCCCCTGCCAAAGGTGGACCAGCTGGTAGATGCCACTGCCGGATATGAACGAATGGACTTCCTGGATGCCCGAGCAGGATATCATCAGATCCCTCTCTATCCCCCGGATTAGGAAAAGACGGCGTTTATCACTCCGAAGGGAGTTTACTGTTACAAAGTGATGCCGTTTGGACTAAATAACGCCGGGGCAACATACCAAAGCCTGATGAATCGGATGTTCAGAAAGCAGATCGGCAACACCATGGAGGTCTACATTGACGATATGCTGGTGAAGAGCAAACGGAGTTGTGATCATCTGACAGATTTGGCGGATACCATCTCCACCCTCAGGGAGTATGGGCTGAAGCTGAATGCGGCAAAGTGCGTTTTCGGAGTGGAATCAGGTAAATTCCTCGGATACCTGGTTAGTCAACGAGGAATCGAAGCCAACCCAGATCAGATTCAAGCGATCCTGGACATCCGGAGCCCCCGCACTGTCCGAGAAGTCCAGAAACTCACAGGGATGCTGACTGCACTTAACCGTTTCATCTCACGCTCCTCGGACAAATGCAAACCCTTTTTCGGAGCAATCAAGAGTGCTGGGAAGAACATGTGGAGCCGGGGGTGCGAGGACGCCCTGACTGGAATCAAGGAATACCTAAGGACTCTTCCAACCTTATCCGTCCCCACCCAGGGGGAGATGCTGTTCTTGTACCTGGCAGTATCTGAGTTTACGGTAAGCGGGGTACTTATCCGTGAACACGAGCACCGCCAGAAGCCGATTTATTGTATAAGCAAGGCGCTCCTGGACGCAGAGACAAGATATCTACCCCTAGAGAAACTGGCTCTATCCCTGGTCACCACTGCAAGGAAACTGCGGCATTATTTCCAGGCGCACCCAATCACTGTCCTTACCGATCAGCCCTTGAAAGCGATCTTGAGGAAAATGGAACTCTCCGGAAGGATTTCCAAGTGGGCAGCAGAGTTGGGGGAGCACGACATTCATTTCAAACCCCGAACTGCGATAAAAGGTCAAATATTGGCAGACTTCATAGCTGAGTTTTCGGGGGAGCATCCCGTTTTAGAAGGACCGCCTCCTCCCGACTTAGCGTCTCCAACGAATTGTGAAGGATCGCCATGGCTTTTGTGTGTGGACGGTTCGTTAAATAGTAAGGGGTCCGGAATCGGTATCTTGCTGACCTCTCCAGATGGGATAATTGCGGAGCAGGCCGTTCGGCTGGGATTCAAGGCTTCGAATAATAAAGCTGAATACGAGGCCCTCATCTCAGGATTTCGGTTAGCGGAGGCGACTGGAGTTACCGATTTAATCGTGCATTGTGATTCTATGCTAGTAGTCAATCAAGTTAACGGAGAGTTTGAGACAAGGGACCCTAGGATGAAGGTCTACCATCACAAGGCGACGACTGTAATTCGAAGGTTCGGCCGGATTGAAATCAAACAAGTGTCCCAAGACAAGAACACACATGCCGACACCCTGGCTTGTCTAGCCTCGGCGGTGGACTCCTCCCAGTCGCGCAGGATCACCATTGAATACCTTCCCGCATCCTGCATAGACCATGCTCCCGAGGCAATGGTCATCCAGGACGCACACAAGCCGCCCAGTTGGATTGATCCCTTTCTCAGGTTCCTAACAACAGGAGATCTCCCGGAGTGTTCAAAGGAAGCAATGAAGATAAAACTCAAAGCTCCAAGATTTTGGGTCTCTCCGGATCAAAAACTGTATCGAAGGTCTTTCTCGGGGCCTTACTTGCTATGCGTCCAAGAAGACCAAGTACAAGACCTTCTCTATGAAGTACACGAAGGAATATGCGGGGGGCACTCTAGGGGGCGTTCAATGGCACACCGCATCATGTCTCAGGGATATTGGTGGCCGCAAATGCAAAGGGATGCGCGCGCATACGTCCAAAAATGCGACCAGTGTCAGAAGTTCTCCCCTGCAATTAGGCAACCCGCGGGGGACTTACACCCCCTGACCAGCCCTTGGCCATTCGTCCAGTGGGGGCTCGATTTAGTTGGACCCCTGCCTAAGGCTCCGGAAATAGGAAGTTCCTCATTGTGGCCACAGATTATTTCACCAAGTGGGTAGAGGCGGAGCCGTTGACTCATATCCGCGACATAGATGCAAAAAAAGAACTCTTTACTACAATACACACTCAGTGTTTTCTTCTTCCCTCTCTCTCTCAAAGACTGACTAGATCGTCGGAGGGGATACGCCGAAAAACACTCCGGCGCCCTTCTAACTTGTTTTTCTTTGTTCCAGGAACCTCTTTCAGCCTTACTGGATCGTTCTTCCGCTCCCCCAGGGTCTCCCGTTGCCGTTCCAGGTTACCAACCGGACCTCGCAGGCTGTTCCAAGCAGCGTGGTTGGTCACTCAACTGGCTCATTCGAGTTCACCAAGGGAGAGATATGTTCTCGTTTTTTATATTGTGCAGGATCTTACACGCACAGTTGGTTGCTAAAAAGCTTAATTTTGTTCTTGAAGATTTATTCCTCTCTTTTAGTATTGAATGAATGTTTTCAAAGTGGTTTTTTGTTTGAATATTACCTTTTGACCTTTGTCCCAATGATGGTTAGAGATAACTTTCTTAAATCTATCCCACGAGATTTGGCCAAAATTATAAATAGAAATTCGGTGGGCTCGGAAAATAAGAAGCAAGCACTAGCAGCATAATTTAATAAATCAATTTGTGGGCTTATGCATGAATACCATTTGGTGGAAGTTTACTGAATATGCAAATATGACATGTTGGAAATGGTGGAAGTAGAGGATTGGCTGAATTCCTTTGGTTCTAGAAACTGCGATGTTGGGCATTGCATTGATTAATTTTTTGGTATTGTTATTAAGTAAAGCAATAGAATCAATGGTTTGAAATCTATAGGAGGTTTTTGGGTTTATGTGGAGGCATCTGGGAGAGAGGTCGCATTGGAGACAGTGGAAACTATTCTGACGAAGGAATTAATGTTATAATCGATCAATTACACTACAAAAAATTCTAAAAAAAAAAAAGGAAAAGTGGAGTAGTAAAGTTATTCTTCCAATTATTGGCTGGGAATATTGAGTCAAAGGACAGGAAGTTGAATAATGAGAGTCAATGGGATGCATGATTTTTGAGGATGAGTGTGAAGAAGTTGAGGGATTGTGGGATAGAATTCATTTTTTGGCTTCTTTTTGGACTTCCAATGCAAAGGAGTTTGAGGATATTCCTCTCTTTTGTATTAGAACAAATTGGAGAGCATCATGTGGCTTGTAGTCATTGTGTGGATTCCTTGTCCACCATTAATTTGTTTCTCGTAAATTTTTTCTTATGATTGTCAGTAAAATGTCATGCCTTATCCCAAAAAAAGGAAAGTAGTCTTGTGAGATTTATGAATCCAGATAGCGTTTCTAGAGTAGATTGCATTGGAGGCTGTCAATGGAGGGAACTAGTGCAGTTTTCTATAATCAGGGCTCAGTTTGGGTTGATAGTCGGTTAGATATCTTGATCTATTGCACTTTTTTCAGGTGTTTGCACTTGATTAGAGGTTGATTCTGATTTTCAACAAATTTGCCTTCAAACATAGGGCAAATATTGGATAAATTCTGCAATGGTTGTGAAGAGCTTGCCTCGTGTAAATAGTTTTGAAATAATTTATACCAAAAAAATAGCATGGTGAGAAATCCCATTCATTGTTACATGGAGAAGGTTTTAGTTTGACTAAGAGCTTAAAATAATTTGAAATTCTAGTCGTTGCAGTAATTTTGTGAAGAGAATATGTAAAGTGAGAAAAAAAAAAAAGTTGACTCCCACCTTGTTTTTAATAGATCACTTCATGGTGGAGCATATGTATGTGAAAACATGTAGGGTATATAATATACCTCAGGACAATTGGAATTATCTAAATTTTCACATAAATAAAAAAAAACCTTCTAGACATGTTGAATGTATTTATTGTGCACTTTGAGGTTTTTATTCATCAGAGAAAAAGAATGTGTCTGTCGTGTACTTTGATATCTTGATCTATTGTCTGTTAGATATCTTGATCTATTGCACTTTTTTCAGGTGTTTGCACTTGATTAGAGGCTGATTCTGATTTTCAACAAATGTGCCTTCAAACATAGGGCAAAATATTGGATAAATTCTGCAATGGTTGTGAAGAGCTTGCCTCGTGTCAATAGTTTTGAAATAATTTATACCAAAAAAATAGCATGGTGAGGAATCCCATTCATTGTTACATGGAGAAGGTTTTAGTTTGACTAAGAGCTTAAAATAATTTGCAATTCTAGTCGTTGCAGTAATTTTGTGAAGAGAATATGTAAAGTGAGAAAAAAAAAAAGTTAGACTCCCACCTTGTTTTTAATAGATCACTTCATGGTGGAGCATATGTATGTGAAAACATGTAGGGTATATAATATACCTCAGGACAATTGGAATTATCTAAATTTTCATATAAATAAAAAAAAACCTTCTAGACATGTTGAATGTATTTATTGTGCACTTTGAGGTTTTTATTCATCAGAGAAAAAGAATGTATCTATCGTGTACTTTGAAGCAGAAATGTGAAGGTATCACAGAGGTCAAATGCTCTGACGTTCAGATAGATGATCTTGGTTTATTGTATTTTAGTGTATTGATGCACGCACATTAATTTTATGCGGCTTACAATTTTTTTTGTTTTATCGGCTGCATGTTAAATCATGCAGGACGCAATGTTGTTGTTTCAGAATCTGGGACAGTTAAAGTAATTAACGATGGTGTCACAATTGCCCGAACCATAGAGCTTCAAAATGCTATTGAGAATGCAGGAGCAATGCTAATCCAAGAGGTCATTGACACTAGCTGGATTTTTCTCTTCATATTCATTTTGTGCTCAATAAATTTATTGTTGAACTTTAAGTGTTTGCAGGTTGCAACTAAAACAAATGATTTAGCTGGTGATGGTACTACCACTGCAATTATTTTGGCTCGAGAGATGATCAAATCTGGGTTGTTGGCTGTTGCTTTTGGAGCTAACCCTGTTTGCTTAAAGAAAGGAATGGATAAGACTGTAAAAGAACTGATCAAAGTATTGAAGAAGAAAAGCTTTCCTGTAAAAGGGAGGGATGATATAAAAGGTTTTTTCCTTCTTTTGTCCAATTTTTTTTTTTAAATTAAAGACAAAATTCAAATATCCCTTTTTTTTTTTTTGCAGCCATAGCTTCGATTTCTGGTGGAAATGATGAATTCATTGGGAACTTGATTGCTGAAGCTATAAATAAGATTGGCCCTGATGGAGTAATCTCTATTGAATCTTCCTCATCATCCGAAACTTCTGTGATAGTTGAAGAAGGAATGAAGGTGTTCATATATTTATTGTTTAGGGTGTTTATGAGCATAATTAAAAAGGAGGTTTTAGATATTAGTTGGACATCACATACAATGGTTAAAACATGATGTATATGTTCATAAATACAATCAGGGTTTAAATGTCAGTTTGACATCAATACAGAATGGTAAAACATGATTTAGCCTCAAAATATCAAGAGCTTTAAATTCATATCAGAATATGGGTGGTCTAAAAGTGGTCAATTTTTTTTGTAGGGGCTTGAACTGAGATACTATGTTGAGCCCCTGCTATCTTGTTAAACAAAACCAGCAGCTAGCATTGTTGCTGGACATCTCCAGCATTAAAGTTAAGCCCCAAGTATGATTACATCTGCCAAACACACTCTTATAGATATTCAAAACAGTGCACAGGCTATCAAATAAATTTTGTTTGCTTCTAATTGGAATTTCTCAGATGGATTGACCTCGTATATATGTGTTGCAACTATACATTTCTTTATTAGCGGTCCAGTTTCATTTTCTTCCTAGTTTTAAATATTGCTGCCTCATATTTGTGATCTTATTGTTCTTTTTCTTGTGGATTTTTTAAATATGTTTTCCGGCATTGTTTCTTGCAGATAGACAAGGGCTACATGTCACCCCAGTTCATCACAGATCAGGAGAGATCTATTGTGGAGTTTGAAAATGCTAAAGTTTTGGTGACAGACCAAAAGGTATCAACAGTCCAAGAGATTGTTCCTTTACTAGAGAAGACTACCCAGCTGAGTGTCCCACTGCTAATAATTGCTGAGGATATATCAAGGCAAGTTCTGGAGACACTGGTCGTGAATAAGGTGCGAGGTGTGCTTAATGTTGCTGTAGTTAAATGCCCAGGGTTTGGAGAGGGAAAGAAAGCACTGTTGCAAGATATTGCTCTGATGACAGGTGAACTTAGGTGCTCTTCTTTAATTTAAAGAAAGACATGTCAAAGGATTATCTTAGATCACTCACATCATTTCTATCGCTTTTATAGATGTGTGCATGCATTATTTATATTTGATTTGAGAGGCTGTGTCGGTGGTAATTCAGTGATATCCACATTTTTTAATGGAGATTTCAGTAAAAAAACCTCTATTGTTCCTCTGCATGATTTTCTGGAAGAATCTAATTAGCTCTCATTAATTCACTGCATGGCTTGAAATGTTGTTTTCTTATATTTTTTGGAGGGAGGGTGATGTGTCGAGGTTCATAACTGGCTGACCCACTTCATTCTGTGTATGCGTGTATCAAATTTTCCAAATTGATACTGAGGCAGCTCATTTACTATCAAGTTAGTATCACATGAACGTCACTTTGTCCAGCATGCTAATGAAATTTAAGGTAGTGTTTGTTGCATTAGTGTGTAATTCCTCATAATGCCCCTATTTTTAGAGACTGCTTTCCGACAGACATCACTATATTTATATCAGGTGCTGATTTTCTCTCTGGAGATTTAGGCCTGACCCTTGAGGGTGCAACCTCTGATCAGCTTGGTATTGCACAAAAAATAACCATAACAGCTAACTCTACAACTATTGTTGCTGACTCTTCTACTAAAGCTGAAATTCAAGCAAGAATTTTGCAGATAAAGAAGGATCTTGCCAACACAGATAGCTCATATCTGTCAGGAAAGCTCTCAGAAAGAATTGCAAAACTCTGCGGTGGTGTAGCTGTTATTAAGGTCTGCATGGAATTAAACATTAAATGAACCTAATCTTGGTGACAGTTCCACTTATGTTTTGAGGCCCAGCTCTGCCTGATGTTTATATATGCTGTAATATGTAGTTGGCACAACAGAATTTGACTTCAAAATTGGTTTAATGTTTTCAAAGCAATGTTGTAGTTGCTAAAAATTGGTCTCTCCTTCGTATTAGTTTCATATGGTATATATCAACATTCAAACTTTAAAGAATATATGGCACAAGAGACATTGGAAAATGTGATTTCATAGTAGCAAATCACACTGCATTTATTTTAGCTAATTGATTTGTATTTGGATTTGACAACTTTTTGAGTTTTCACAATGATAAATCTGCTTCTTTTTTTCACTAATGGAACTAATAGCACTAATGAGCAATGTGGGTGATGTTTAGGTAGGAGCTCACACTGAGATGGAACTCGAGGATCGAAAGCTAAGAATTGAGGATGCAAAAAGTGCCACATTTGCTGCCATGGATGAAGGTATAGTGCCCGGTGGCGGGTCCACATATGTTCACCTCTTAGAAGAGATTCCTGTCATAAAGAAGAACCTGGAAGATCCAGACGAGAAGATTGGTGCTGACATTGTAGGGATGGTATGTTGTATTTTTCTACTTGTACTTGCATTGACGTAGGTTCTCTAGGCATTTAAGCATACGTAAGTTAGAAAACCTAATCCCAACAAGCAGAGAGTTTGGTTCACTAGGATCCTTCTTGCATTGCTGTGTCTTTTTCTTCATTTCATAACAGCCAATAATTTCTTCAACAGTTCATCAAATGTTCTATTTGGCATTTCTTGTCACCTGGCTAGTTGGCTCCTAATTGTAATGCTATCATTTTGTATAACTGCTCACAGTAATTCTTAGGAATTATATATGAGCAGCATTGATTCGTAGGGTGCGTAATACATTGTTAATTTATAGAAAATCTGTTTATATATAAGTGATTTTATTTAAATTCATGTCAAATGATCTGATTAGAAAAATGATGGAAAGAATATTGATTGACAATCCAAGTGTTTTGTCAAACATTTTGTGCCCACTGAAAAAACTTATTTGGGTAGCTTTTGAAATTATCATAGTTTACAAATTTATTTTATTGTAAGGTTCACTGAAAAATTTATTTGATAGTTGGGTCCTTCTAATTGTAATGATATCGTTTTGTATAATGTCATAGTAGAATGCAATTTTCAAATTTGTCAGTCAAAATTTTCAGGCTCTTCTTGCACCAGCAAAAATAATTGCAGCTAATGCTGGAGTAGATGGGGATGTAGTTGTTGAGAACATTAGTGCTTCTGATTGGCAAATCGGATACAATGCAATGACTGGCACCTTTGAAGACCTTCTTGCCGTTGGAGTGATTGACCCTTCTAAGGTTTCAAGGTGTGCACTTCAAAATGCAGTCTCGGTTGCGGGTATTGTCCTAACAACTCAAGCTGTATTGGTGGAGAAAACCAAGCTTCCCAAGCCACCTGTTCCTCTTGTTCCTGGAATATCTCCTTAGTAATTAGGGACAAATTGGAAACATCAAAAGCACCATCAAAAGCTGGAGAAAAAAGCTGACCGAGCTGGTTTTTGCCATGGTTTGTCAAGATCTAGCATGCAAGCCTGGTTGTTGGGTGGGGACTCACTTAGAGGATTGGCAAATGCTCCCCTCAGTCTGTGCAAAGCCACCAAAATCAAGTTAGTTATCCTGAGTTTTTGGGTTGTGATAGCATGACTTGCCAGTCATATGAAATGATATATCCTCATGTGGTTGTTACTGGTCTGTCTTCTTGGCTCTTGCAGTGGATGGGAAAAAGTTCCGATGGTTCCCAGGACTTTGGGGAATTATTTCGCGTATGTCTCTTTGGATAGTTTGTGGTTTCTCTGTGTCAGGTTTTAAAATACGAACAACCCAGGCAAAGTGCCTTTGCATTTTGCTCTGTACTCAAAAAATCCAAAGATAGCTGAACAACATTGACAATGCAAGGGGATGGTAGGTCTTTACGAAATTGCGATTAATTGTTTTATCTTTATTTAATTTGGGTTTCGTTTGATAACACTCTATGCATGTATTTTTTGTTTTTCTACTAGAGATTTTTAAGGTACTGCTCGCTCGGTATGCATTTTGCTGCTTATACTTCTTTTCTTGTTAAAGTTTGTTTCTGTTGTCCAAGTCAAATTAGCATGTATTATTTATCTATTGAGATTCATATCTATCGCTTTTTGCAAAATAATTCGCGAAATGACCCCTTTTCTTTTTGATAATTTTGGTTACAAGAAGTTATTTTACACGGAAGCCAGGCTCTTGATACTCGAGCAGTAAGCTTGGCTACAGCAAAGTAAAACACTTACCAAGCGCGAAGGAAAAGGCTTTCATGCAGGAGAAACTTGCAGTGCAACCATCGTAACAGCATATATCTAAAGATCAATAGGAAATCCTATTTTCTTACAAAAAAATCTAGAATTAATTTGAAGTAAGATTTTCGCATTTACACTTTCGTGAACCAAAACTGGGGGAGGGTGAGAGCAAAATCCCCCGTCCCCACCAAAATAAAGCAGCCTCGCTCCCTTTGATAAGAGAGAAAACAAAATAAACTCAATTTAGGGAAGAAAAAAAATCGATTCCATTAATTATGCCTGTTAGCCTCAAACATGAATTGTTTGCAAACAAATGGATTAGTGTCAGATTATCTGACACATTAATTCTTAGTGTTGGATTAGGATCAATTAACAATCGACATAAATCCAAAATAATAAAATTTTATCGTGAGAGTAAGCCTCTAGCACTTATACTACTTTACCTATGTTCTATCGCTCCCTTGTATCACTTAGAAGGACTGGCCTGCCCAAAGAAGAAATCACAAGCAGGACTATATTCACCTTTATGGGAGACTCTTTGAGGAGCTAGCTCCTGTCGATCGGCAGCCCACCAAGCGAGACCTAAGGACTTGTCAGCCGGCAGGCACATGGCCACCATTATATCACTTTACGCCGATTAATTATCAAAATTGTTATTTTATTATATTTAATAATTAATTAATTGTATTAGATTCCTTGATTAAATGTATTGGATTCCTTGATTTTTTATCTTGATACTTCTTGTTCTTATTGTTTGATTTATTTTACAAATAATTTGGTTGATTTAAAATAATAAAAGATAAAAAAAGTAAAACAAACACTAAATGAAAAGTCACGCTAGAAGAAAAGGATATTTGATAAGGATTGAAATATCAAGATTAAAAGATGAAGATTTAAAGACAAGACAACAATTTAATCCTTGTGAAAATCCAAATTAGTAGAAAATTCATTTAGAGTTATATTAGGAAAATATTCTAGAAGATAAGAATTTGACACATTTCTAATATTTTGGTCATTGCTTTTTACTTCAATGTGTCTTTAACCTTATTTATATGGCGTTGGAAATAAGACTTCAAAAGTTACAAAAGTATATTTGATGAAACATTTGTGAATCGACGTCCAACTATACGAAAATTGAGATTGAAGTTTGGAAAAATATTTTACCCGTGCCCCCATTTGACTTAAAAAGACTATTTTTAGGAAAATGATTGCTCTCAAGCCAACCCTAGACCTCCTATCTATATTTAGACTTTAGTATAAATGAAAACTTTCACCTATAGAGAGAGCATCCTAGACTTTATAATCTTTTATTTTATTTTTGCTTCGGAGGTCTACCATATCTTGTGAGTAATTTTTTTTATACTTTTTAGTTAGGGTATGGAACTAGAATTGTGAATTAAATATTTATATTTTTTAGGCCAAGTTACATCTTTTTCACGCCAAGCTAGAACTTTTTAAAAATTCATTATTTTTTTAAACTGAGTCATTTTTTCTCCCTGAATCAATAGAATCTATTAATGGAACAAGACATAAACTTTTTGGCTTTTGAAATACCACCATCAACTCAAGAATTACAACAATATATAGTTGCAGTTAATTATGTAATTAAAAGAAAAAATATGTATGATTAAAGTAAAACAAAAAATAAGGGTATTTTTTTTTTTAGGTGGACACCACAACCACCCTCTTGCTTTATTAATTGTACAGATTTTAAAAAATTCGTTGTTGTTAGATCACATTTTGTAATTAACTAATTACGTGGAGTCTATTGTAAATCTCAACATTTTACATGATTAAGATGATACCAAGTTAAACATTCGAAAAGCGACATTGAAGGGAGGAGTTAAGCCTTAATGCAACATCATTCAACCTAGGTATGCACTTTTATACTGAAGACAAAGATAATGACCCAATTCACCGCCTACGTGCCCTTTATGCCCAGTCATTTCGAAGAAAATTTGCCCTCCCCCCCCCCCGGATCTTACCACGGCCGTTGGCACAGAGTTAGCCAAGTTTTCTTCCTCGAGTCTTGTCATAATTGCGCACTCCATGAAAGAGCTTTACAAGTAGCATTGCTCTTCTTCACTCACGCGATGTTGTTGGATCGAGCTTTCGCCCATTGTTTGAGATTCCCCACTGTTGTCCCACCCATGGGAGTCTGGGCTGTGTCTCAGTCCTAGTGTGGCTGATCATCTGAAAAAGACTAGCTAAGCATCACTGGCTTGGTCAACCTTTACTTGACCAACCACCTAATACTACACAGGCTCATCCCTATGACTTCCCTTTCACCGATCAAGTGGTCGTTCACGAATCTGAGTTTTCTTATTTACTAAGACTACACTTATTTTAGACCTATAAATAGGGAGATCATTTCCCACATATAGATTAAGCCTTTTGTGAGATAGAACACTTCTTCTACCTTGAGAGCTTCCACCACTAACCTAAATCCCTAAATTTAAAAACTCGCAATAGAGATTTTATCCAACCTCACAACTTAGTGTTAAAGATATTGATCGTGTCAACCAAACCCATTGGTGTCTGCATACTGGGGATTGATGGAGTGCCTATGATTGCTCGAGGTCTAGTGTGGCAGGGAGGTCCAAGGGAAACTACATTAGACGTTGAAGGAAGGCCTTCAGTGGACAGACTACAAGCAAATGAGTATCTAATCATGGTATTGGTTGAGGTATAAAACTCGAGTACTTGTATGTTGACTTAGCAAGTAATGAATTAGGCTTTAGTGAACCGAAAAAGTTCCCTACAATTTTTTTCAAAGAGGGTTTTCGCGTTAACAAATCACTTGTGTTAATCTTGCATATTTTATATACATTGGGGATTGTGAGCACACACGTGCACTATGTATTTATTAGAATGATTGTTTGATATCTATTAAACCATAATATGCAAATTGGGGTTTAGAATTTGGGATCAACGTGAGATTGATTATGAGCTAATTAATTGAAGATTAATTTAATCAATCATCAAGTGCAAAATGCGTTATGATGACTAAAGGGGTCCTCAAATTATTTTTTATACCTTTGTGATAAGATGTAATTGTGGTAGGTTAGGTTTTTATTAGTAATTAATTGGACTAAAAATTGAAAAATCTATCCCCCCTCTAGGTAAAGTGTTTATTTCTCCATATATATAGTCATGAGAGAAGATTCACATCGGGTTCCCCTTCCTAGAACAACATAATTTTTAGTAGTTGATGTGTCAATGCCTTTCAATTCTATTATGGGAAGACCTTGACTGCACTACATGGTAGCAATAGCCTCTACTTACCACTAGATGCTACACTTTCCAATCGATGAGGGGATAGCTAAGATTCGTGGAGACCAAACTACCTCGAAGAAATGTCTCAACGTTAGGGATAAATTGAAAGCTAAGTCACATTAAGTCTTTGTGGCTGATGAGGCGTCCCTCTCCTAGAGGATGTAGGGGGAAAGCCCAAAGATAAATCAACCAAAAAGTTGCAAATTAAGACAATGGACTATAATACGGGCCTAGAGAGATACTTCTTAATCAGATCACAACTGTCTACTCTTGAGAAGAAGTCTCTTATCAGATTATTGAGGAGGAACATTGAGGCATTCACATGGAGACCCTACGAGATTTCAGTTGTTGACCATTCAATAGCTAGTCATCATCTTAATGTTAACCCTGCTTGCAACTCAGTGATTCTGATTTGTAAGAGGTCTGCCCTCCACTATATCAAAGCTATTATTGAAGTAGTGGAAAAACTTCTGGAGGTTGAGTATCTACAATGGTTGTCAAACACCATTGTAGTGAAAAGGAAGAACAAAAAGTGGCGAGTATGTGTTGATCGTTGTAGGCCCTTCTTCCAACTTTTTAGGGTAGGATGAGTCTTCCACTAGGATGAAAACTCCAACAAGGCACTTGATGAGTTGGAAAAACTACCTTCAGACTCTTCCCTTGCTCACTCATCGACAAGGTGAAGAGCTTTAGCTCTACTTGATAGTATCAGAACATACGATCAGTGCTATATTACTTCATGTGAAAAGAAAAGAACAAAAATCAGTTTAATTCATGAGTAAGACCTAACTTGGGCGGAGACGAGATATCTTCCTCTCGAGAAAATTCTCTTGGCTTTGATTGTAGCTTCACGTAAGAAGTGCTTACCATTTTTGTAATCACTGAACAACCTTTGAGGAGAATACTAGGAAAAGCTAGCCTTTCTAAATGGCGAGGATGGATCCTCAACTCGGCGAGGATTAGGAGCTACAAGTTGATGGATCCTCAACTCGACGAGGATTAGGAGCGAGCATTGTCCTGTGCTCCCCTCATGGAGAAGTCCTAGAACAAACTTTTTGACTAGGTTTTGTTTCCACCAACAATGAAACTGAGTACAAAACACTTACCTTTGTGGTACGAAAACACATTAAGATTGTGGACAAAAGAGTTGACCATATACTCTGACTCTTAGTTGCTTGTCAACTAGCTTACGGGGGACGATAGTGCCCGTTTGAACACTATGTCTTTATGCTTTGAGAAGGCTAGGGAGCTTCTTGGACAATTGTAGTCCTATAAGGTGATTTAGTATCCAAGGTTGCCTTTTAGGCTACTCAGTCTCCAACTATTATCTTTCAAATTTCAAGGTTACCCTTTAGGCTACTTAGCCTCCATTTATTGTCTTTTCGACCTCCAAGGTTGCCCTTTAGGCTACTTAGCCTCCATCTATTGTCTTGAGACATCCAAAGTTTCCCTTTAGGCTACTTGGCCTCCATTTATTATATTGTAACCTCCACTGTGAGACCAGAGTATGCATAACATTGCATTTTTTATAAAAATTGTC